TGGAAGCTTGGGTTCAATATCGAGCTGCGCTGGCGATGTAATGTTTTGCTGAGATGGAGAGGAGTCTTCAGTAATCGCGGATTTCGAAGGAGTTACAGAGTTTTTCGACGTGCCCACAGCGACACCTTTCGTGAGGTGTCGCGTTTATTGTCGGAACTTCGTTACAAGGACCACAGTGCGCCCTCCCTGAAGTGCAGTGACCGCCCTGCGACGCCTATTTCTCTTCCCAAGAGCAATTGAATATTGCCTTTCAGAACAAAATCGTCGCAGGTAACCGCGTCGGTCACGACGGGTACAAGCACACTTGATCGCGACTGTAGCTTCAAGTGGTCGGCAGCGACTTTTACGGCAATTGATGTTATTTAGGGTTCCTCTGGAGGCGGAACAGGTGTCCGTAGCTTCAATCTCATCTCTTCAAGGTCGATTACGGCGCCGCATTTACACACAAACTCCATGCCGAGAATGACGTGACTTTTTGGAGGCGGCGAGAGCGCCCCCCACACAAGACTAAGTAGTCTGCTCAGTTGTCCATAGGGGCCGATTAGTCGTGGACATCGATAACAACGTTTAGATTGTTGGGCACCTTTGCAGAAGCGTCGTTGTTAGGCGTGGCGTCGGGACAGCAGGACCGCTCCGGGGTTTTTGAAGGTTGTTTACTTCGGTCGTCTTCGACAATGCCATTTCCAGGGGTTGCGGCACTTATTTTTCCCGACGACGCAGGGGAGACAGGCTCACTTGGTGGGGTCGTGGCGTTGGAGACGCTGAACGTCGTGACGATGGTGAGCGAGATGTACGGCGGAGAGACGGCGCCGACATGGAGAAGCGTCGGAGGCAATCCTTGATGCTGGAAGAGCGTTACCCATACCTCGGGCGTGGGTCGTTCACCGTACCTCGGGCGTGAATCGTTTGGGTGGAACGCACGCATCCCAAGTCGACGGTAGGGGTATCCACGCGGTAGATGTCGTCGGCTTCCCCCTGGTGATAGCAAAGCGTGCGTTGGTCCGGCGGTCACCATACGTCGGTCTTTTTGAGCGAGGGTCCTTCCGAGCGGACGAACTGGGCTTGTTCATTCTGGCGTCAAGGATACTGCGGCATTGGGGTGTTGCGTCACGATGGCTTTCGGGCTCTGCGGGGAGCTTGTGGTGGTCGTCGGGCCATGGCGGCGGAGCTCCAAGTAGGCTCCTCTGGTGCCACAATGGTGACGGGAGCCTCTGGTTGGAGCGCTTGATGGACCTCTTCGCGGACAGCCGCGGCAATGGGGGGAGGGGGGGGGGGGGGGTCGCTGGACGACTAGCGGATGGCAGCAACCTTCGGAGCTCCTTTAGATGACCTCCCGGGTAATTTCGCGGATGTCCGGCGTTCCGCAGGCAGGCCTTTCCAGTCCATCCGTTCGGGCGAGCCTCAATGTCGTAGCGTTAGATCCAGTCCTCTAAGCCCTCATGGGTCTCGACGTGGAAGAGAGTCGGCGTACGAGGATCTACAGGCAGGTAGATACTGGAAGGGGCGGACGGGTTTTGCTGAGATATTGTTGTGGTCTTGGCCTTCGACTTATCGGATAGAAGACCAAACTGAGGGGGCTGTCCTTGGGTGCGGCGGCTGGCTCGGGTTTTGGGCTCGTTAACGGAGATCAGCTTTTCAGGAGTTGAAAAAGATCGAACCCGACAGATCTCCTGAAGGGTACGTCCCACAGGCATAGAATACGGCACCCCGCACCTTCACCAAAATGTCGCGAATGACAAATGATTACCGGCGAATAATTGGAAAACCTAATCGTTTAATGGGGTGAACTTCTGCAAAATATTAAAAAAATAAGGCCAGCGTCGCAGGCGTCGATGTCGGCAAAGCCTCAGAATCGAGCGCGGGGGCGAGACTGATCCCGGCACGCCACGCGGAGTGCCTTATGTACGCGCGTGGGTTTCTGGAACATTCGGTGTAGAACCTTCGGCGCGTAGAACTTTCCTACCTTGATCAGACGAAAGGTTTTCAATCTTACGAGAACGCTAATTTGAAGAAATAGGCAAAGAAATCGTTCGCTCACAGGAACCAAACAAGGGGCCTCCGCGCGAAAGCCCAACACGGTAACAACTCGGCCACGCAGTCACTCGCTCGGCCACGCGCATCGCATTATCTTGTCCATCGTTTTCGCGTGCTTTTTGTTCATTTTGTTTTGCAGTCCTACTTACATGATTTATATTCTGTATTCTTACGCACCTGTCCCTCCTCTATATAATACCCTCTTTTGTAGGGCCTTCGGAGTATTTTGAATAAATCAATAAATATATCAATGATGACAAACCTTTTAATAATAAGAGCCGGATTGTCCAGGAGAGTAGAAGGTATTAGAACGTTCACTAAAACAGGCAAATAAGACAACACAAAAGACACGTTGCCTTCGACATAAAAGAAAAAAAAAAAGGATATGAAAGCGCTCGCAAATGGGAAGCTCCCTCTTGGTTCATTGACCTGCTGAGATTGTTTTAGAGGCAGCTCTGAACTCGAGACATGTTCATTTCACGAACACTTTCTGCTGCGGTTGCTTCTTGATGTGCCTCAGAACGTTCACATGCAGTAAGCGCTTCGCTGGTGCTGACCGTGAGTGGTGATACGAGTCGTGCATGGCGCGAAGCCGATAGTCACCCGCTAAACATTTGCTCAGATATCCCTAACCTTCGACTAAGATTTCCTAGTTTCCACCTAAGTAACTCAGGGCGACTTAGCACTAAACTTGGTCTGTAGATACCGATTGTTTCTTTAGCCGTAATTTTCACCGCCCCCGTAATAATTTTAGTCAATGACGTAGTTAGTCCAAGGTTGTGCATGAGCTAGTCACATTTGGTGAATACAACTGAGAAGGCTATAATTTATTTGATTCAAAATTTTGAAATCACTATGTGACACTTACGAATGTACTGAATAAATAAATCTACAATTGTACGTAAGCACAATTGAGAGACTGAAAAAGAGAGACATAGAGATATGGAAGCAAGTTTCGTGTCGGGTTAGACAGCATAAATTAAGCTTTATGTTTGCTATATAAAATGCCAAATTTTGAATATCGATTGCCTGTATTGAGCGCATTGGAGAGCTACATTTATCCAACAAAAGTTGAATGCAACACTCTAGTTGTAATTCCCGAAAATGACGTACATACAAAGACAAGTTCCTGAGAAATGTTATGTTATACCTTTCAGCAGAATTCACTGAAGAGCACCAAGGGAAAACTAACTAGAGGAAATTGATATATGTGTAAAATGTCTGCCTAAGTATTGCGATGCTATCTGTCAGGTCTCGAAGGGGATGTTGTAATGCAGTCTGCCGGGCAAAATGAATAATATAGAACACATTTTTTTGCCTGCTGTTCTACTAGTGGAGAGACAGGCAGGTTAAAAAAAATATAGATGAAGCAATCCTGGCTGTGACAGCAGTCCTTCTAAACGTCAATTAAATGACACTTGTTCACCAAAGACGTCTGCTATTGCTGTTTCCCGTTTTAGTCCTCGAGCCTCCTCACGCGACCACTTCACAATTTCGTCATTGTCTCTATTTAAGATTTGTGTCTCTTTTTGTAGCGCAGGCTACGTGAACGGTCAATGTTCAGAAAAAAAAAGAAGCGAAGTAAATGTTGAAACTTGAAAATTATCTTATTACTAAAACAAAATCCACGTGCAACTTTTTAACACAGGAAGGAACGTGTTGTATAAAGCACGGGGAAACGATATCAATTCCCTGCGAGCTGTAGAAGCATTGCTACCACATAATATTTAAATACAACAAATCATCCTACTAAGTCTCGCAACGTAAATAATTATTCTGCGTGAGAATATTTTCCTCTGAAGGGCATCTGATACGTTCTCCTTACGTTGTTCGCAAACATTGATGATCCATTATCTTAAAACGTGAACGTAGACACCTTCTTAACCAACAGCGCAGCATGTGATGACCTAATGATTGTATCGCTTGACCTCCCCGCAAATGTTTTATTTTGTTAAGCCTGTGATCTCCTAAATAGATGAAACGAGAAATTAAAGATGTTTACAATTCTCTGCAATGCCGACTTAGAGCGCAGCTCTTGACGCGGAGGAGTGGAGGGTACAGAAGAAGAAGGTATGAGCCTCCTCCTCCCCCCCCCCCCCCCCGTACCCTTCCCTCCTCCTCGCCTGGTGACCTCCCATTTAGCCTGAAATTTTCGATAATATCCCGCTAAATTTAACGAACAGTTCTCCGCTAAATTGAGGGAGAAATATTCCCGCTAAATTTAGTGGCACATTTAGTGGGACAATTTCCCCTCTTAATTTAGAGGGGACATTTTTGCTAAATTCGCCGCTAAATTTAGCGGGGAAGCTAAATTGTTTTTGAGGTCACGTGATGTCAATTTTCCCGGAAAAATTCCTGGTAAAACTGAGGCTGCTAAATATTGCGGGGAAATGTTTCCGCTAAATTTAGCGTGAAATTTTTCCATAATGCAACGCGTGCGATTAAGCCGATGAGGACGCCGACGCCGACGGCGACGCCGCTCAAAACGTAAACGAGCGCCTAAGAGCTCGGGTCTAAAAGACGTGCTCGCAGTTATACCAAGTAATTCTGGCTAGCAATCTTCCTTTGGCTATATACTAAGCAAGCGAAGAAAAAACGACAGGTTTGTAAACGTCGATAAGGATTTATCTAGTCCCCGAGAAGCTGATCTTGATTTCTTGGCATACAGTAATGATTGTAACCCTCACCTTGTGCAGGCAGGCTATAGTTGGGTGCATTATTGAAGACATTAAAAAAATAGCTAACTCCTTTGATGGACATTGTGGTTTGAAAGACAGTTTGAGCAGAGCTTCATACAGAGAATATCAGGGATGTCACTTTTAGGCAGTACGCATTCCCAGAGAGTGATGCAATTAGTGTTCTGCAGTAGCATGACGCCCACACATAGTTATAACATGGTGTTATCAAATACCTCGGGTGCTATATATCTTATTGTTTTACCAACAAAATAATTTTTTCTTATTCAGGTCTATTTGGCGTTAAGAACAAACGTCCAGAAGAAATTCCTCGGTCTCTCCAGTTTCTATGAAAACCAGCTATTCTTCACTTCATATGCGCTTGTGAGTATGCTGAAAGAAAAATAATTCTTCTTAGCTAAACTTGATTACATTACACGGTTTTGCAATGCATGAATTGGCGAGATAAGTGCTTACACTTCTATCGCATTTAGGGCTGGGCGTCGATGAAACCTTTTAACCGGATTAATCGCCTTTCCTTAATCAATTAACTAATCGATTAATTCGTTTCCACCATTTTTATGCAAAATATAAGAAAGCAGGATAATTCTTTTTTTGCTTTTGCGTATTATGTGGCAAACCACGCAATATACAGGGTGATGCAAGGAGAGGCCAGGCTCTTTAAATCGACCGCAAAATTCGGTTTCTTAAGCTATCACCCTACGACTTTGTGCACCGTTGCCCACAGATGGTGCATTTTTTTGTTGTAAAATTTGCAAAGAGCGAACTTACCCGAGGAAAAAGTAAAGAAACAAAAAGCTTAGCCCCTATGGAAACGCAGCAACGCCACCGGTCTTCAAACAACACGGCGCCGTTTCGCGCGGGAGGCAAGAGATGGTGCAACGAACGCCACCAACGAACGAGCATACGGCGTCTAGAGCCGGCGTCTTCAGCAGACGATCTTTTCGACTCAAAAGCGGCGCGCGTTCCGCAGTGGCGACAGTCGCAGAAACAAAAATAGGCGCGGTAAGAACAAGCAACTGCCGTTCCTTATCTGCTAAAGACGCCGGCTCTCGGCGTCGTATGCTCGTTCGTTGGCAGCAGTTGGCGTCGCGACCGCTTGCGCCATCTCTTGTCTCCCGTGCGGAACGACGCCGTGTTGTTTGAAGACCGGCGGACCATTCCAGAAGTGCGGGGGCAGTCCGGGTTAACGGAGAGGAGGGTTATCGAAGCCAACGGAGTAATTAAGGGTATGAGTCGACAGCTTCGGTACCACGTAATGGAAGTAAACAGAGAAGTGTACGAGGCTGGCTCCCGCCCTTTTGCAGATGGCATTCACTACAGTGAGGCCACGGGTTACAGGTTACAGGAAAGATAGGATGGGCCGCACGGTGACTGCTTTTTTAGGGGGTCCGAGGGCCCTGGGGGCACTGAAGTAATTGAAAACCCAACGAAGTCAGGAGAGGCACCCAGGGTTAAAAAGAGGAGAAAACGTAAGAACAGGTATAAAAAAAAACAGCACAATCAGACATTGGATATATTAACATGCAGGGTGGTAGAAATAGGTTAAAATGGGAAGAGGTAGAGGAGCAACTAAGAAAGGAGGATTTAATGGTGTATGGGTTTGTGAAAACACATCTCAGAGACATGGAGCAGCCACCTTGCAACCCTGACTATGTGTGGGAAGAATGCAACAGAATGGAGGGAACGAGGAAAGGAGGTGGAATTGGAGCATTTATTAAGAAGAATATGAACTTTCAAAGGATCAGAAAGGAGTGCACCGAACATTTGTGGCTGAAAGGAAAAGTCGCTGGGGAATCAACAGTCCTTGGCGTTGTTTACTTATCGACAGGGACAGGTGCTAAAGAGGAAAACAGAAAAATGATTGATTGCATATCAAGAGACATTAGTGAACTAGGGGAAGGCTCCGAAATAATTAATATGGGAGATATGAATGCCCATATTGAGGGTCTGGATGGGTATACGGACTCAACTGGAAGCATATTACTAGAACTGGTGGAAAAACATGACTTAGTTTTATGTAATACCAGTCAGAAGTGTGACGGGCACATAACTTGGGAAACTGGCAATCTGCATTCAACTATAGATTACGTACTCATGTCACACAAAATATATGGTAAGTTACAAGTAATGAAAATAGATGAAGAAGGTTCCAAAAGTCTTGGTAGTGATCACAAACGTATTAAGCTGAATTTTGCCAGAGAAGTAAATGCTGAAACTAGACAACATAATTCAAAGCAAACTTTCTGCAGCGACAAAGAGTTGGAAATAGTTGTTGAAAGAACAGAGGCAGCAGTTACAGGGCAACGGTATACAGATTGGACCTATGAGTGCCTAACTAGGCTTTTTGCTCTAGAACTAGACAAAGTTAAGAGTAAACGAAACGGGAAGCAAGGACATAGACCAAAAAGCTGGTGGGACAAAGAAGTGAAGCAAGCGATACAAAAACGTCAGGAAGCCTCTAGAGAACACAGGTATTCCAAGCGTAGTGGGGAGTCCGAAACGGAAGTAAAAAGAAAATGGGACAATTTTATAACATGTCGCCGAGAGGCATCCAGTTTGATCAATGCGAAAATTCAGAGAAAGGGTGAGGAATGGATGAGTAATGTAAGTTAGAAAGATAGAAACGCTTCCAAGAAGTTTTGGGAGCACTTGAACTCACTCGGTGAAACAACGCAAGCTAGACAGAGGTTCATACTCTCGCATCAGGGAGATCAATTAGAGGGAGATGATGCAATACAATATATAGGAGCAGTGATGGAGGAAAAATTTCGGGAACGGGTACATGTGGAAGATAGGAGAACCGAAGGAAGTGGCAGTCCAGTTTGTGACATCGCGGATTTTGGACAAAGAGAATGGGAAAAGGCGGAGCGAAGAGTCCCTAGTGGCACGTCGACAGGCACAGATGGTATCCCTATCAAGCTGGTGAAGAATTTCGGTCCTAAATCTAAGGCAAAACTAAGGGAGGTAGTGAGTACCATGATAACAAAAGGAAATATTCCAGATGAATGGAGGCTTAGTAGGATGAGTATGATGTATAAGGGAAAGGGAGATAAGTCTGATATTAGGAATTATCGTCCTATAACCGTGACACCGGTTATTTACAGGTTGGTAATGCAGATTATAAAGAACAGACTGGAGCAATGGGTAGATTGCGAGGGCATACTGGGCGAGTTACAGAATGGGTTTCGGAAACAAAGAAGGTTGGAGGACAATTTATTTTCTCTAACACAGTGCATAGAAATAGCGCAAAAAGGAAACAGACAGCTCTGGCTGGCATTTCTGGATATCAAGGGTGCCTATGACAATGTGAACCAAAGAAACCTGTGGGACATAATGGAGAACTTAAACCTAGATGAAGGACTAACAGCACTATTAAGGAACATTTACAAAGATAACAAGGTGATTATAACATGGGAAGGAAAGGCGGCAGGGAAAATAGAGATAAGACGAGGCCTTAGGCAGGGGTGCCCGTTATCGCCTTTGCTGTTTATGTTGTATCTCAGAGGATTGGAGGATAGACTAGAGAAGAGCGGGCTTGGATTCAACCTTTCTTACAGTAAGCTAGGCCAAAAAATTCAGCAATCCTTACCGGGATTGATGTATGCGGATGATATTGTACTAATGGCTAACAACAGGACAGAGTTGCAGGAATTAATGAGCATCTGTGGTAGGGAAGGAGAGGAATTAGGTTTAGAATTAAGTAGCGAAAAATCAGCAGTCATGATTTTTAACGAGGATGAAGTTGAGAGGCTGAAGATACAGAATATTACAGTTGAGAGAGCTAGTAAATACAAGTATCTAGGAGTATGGATATGTGATGGTGCAGAATATCTCAGAGAGCATGAAAAGTATATAATAGGTAAGGGCAACAGAAATGCAGCTGTAATGAAAAATAGAGCACTTTGGAATTACAACAGGTACGAGGTGGTGAGAGAGATTTGGAAAGGGGTCATGGTGCCTGGCTTGACTTTTGGAAACGCAGTGCTATGCATGAAATCCGAAGTGCATGCGAGACTAGAAATAAAACAGCGTGGAGTAGGTAGACTGGCTTTGGGGGCACATTGCAAAACGCCAAACCAGGGAGTACAAGGAGACATGGGATGGGCGTTATTTGAGAGCAGGGAAGCGGTGAGCAAGATAGAATTTGAGGATAGGTTGAGGCAAATGAATTGGGAGCAATGGGCACGAAAGGTTTTCAGCTATTTATACATGAGGAGTGTAGACACAAAGTGGAGACAACGCACTAGGAAATTAAGTGGAAAGTTTTTGGGTTACAGCGAAGATACGGAAGAGAAAGTCTCAGTTAAAAAGAAAGTTAAGGCCACAGAAAGAGATCGGTGGCTAGAGGGAATGCAGACAAAGACGGCTCTGGAAAGCTATAGATTAAACAAAAGAGTTATTGCCAAAGAAGGCATTTATGACAATTCTAGGGGAAGCTCATTGCTGTTTTAGGCGAGGACGGGTGTTCTGCGAACCAGAACATACAGAGTGAAGCACCAGGAAATAGATACAGTGTGCACTGCTTGTGGAGAGGAGGACGAGACGGCTGAGCACTTGATACTCTACTGTAAAGGGCTTCACCCTATGCCTACCGAAGACAACATAGATTTAATAAAGTCATTGGGTTTTAGAGACAGCGAAGGGAGAGTGGATTTCAAGACTGTAGAGATTACCAAGCAAAGATTAAGTGAATGGTGGCAGAAATCGAGAGAAAACTAGGAGGAGGAGGAAAACGTTTATTGGAACATGAGGGATGATGCTGATGATGACGGAAGTGGAGCCTTAGCGGGGAGGGTTCCTCATTCCAGGATCCCTAGAAGCTGGCCAGCAAGTTTGGCCCTTTCGAGCAGCCTAAGCTGCTCTCCGGGGTCCCTGCTCCGCAGCAGCCTCTCCCAGCCGGCTTGGCCTTTTTCTTCGTCTTGGAGCTTGGGAAGCTCGTCGTTATTCGTACATTCCCACGTGGAGTGGTAGAGTGTCGCTCGGGAGCCGCACCAGGGGCAGCTGTCGTCTTCGTACCTGTCCGGATCCACGTGTCTGGCCAGCACCTTGTTCGGGAAGTTGCCCGCCTGGAGTCTCCTCCATAGGGCGGCATCTATTCTGTCGAACCTGTCCGCGGGCTCCGGAAACTGGAATCGGCAGGCCTTGTAGTGGTCAAGTAGCTCCGAGTAGCTCGGGTTCACGATAACGGTTTTCCCCGGCTGCGTCAGACCGGCCCGGAAGGTATGAGCACGGGCTCGGTCGTCTGCTGCCTGGTTACCCGTGACGCCCGCGTGAGCGGGAATCCACGCGATTTCGTGCGTTACTCCAGCACTTTTCGGGGTGACCTTATTTATAAGTTTGGCGGTTCTCGCTCCAATCCT